AAAGACAGTCATATTCACATTCATGTGGGAGAGGTGACTGTAGTCGTGTTCATTATTTGATCCAGAGTGTGTAAATAAAAACAAAATTTTGCCAAACACTTCTGTTTGCAAACCAAATTATTCACAAACAAAAGCATTCATGAACCAAGGTACCACTGTATTTGGCTTCTTAATTCTTCTAATATTTTCAGCAAACTCATTCTCATTGGCTCCAGCTTTACAGGCTCTTCCTTTCTGGCCAAGATGCATGATTTTTACATCTTTCAGCTCTGGTTTTTCTCTTGAATCTCACTATAGATTTGGCTAAAAGCAGCCAACAATACCCATACCACAGCTTAAACATTAGGCTGCATTGAAATTTCCTCTGCCAGATTAATTAGTCTGCTACCTTCAAAATCAGCCTCACACAAAGTGTTAGGACATGGACAAAATGAAGACAAATTCTTTGCCAAAGTGTAACATACTTGGTTTCTAGTCCATTTCCCAGTAAAGTCCTTATTCCCAGTTGAAACCTCATGAGCCTGTCTTAACAGTCTGCATTCTTATCAGCAGTCTGGTCTTCTGAGCTCCAGCCAGAGTTGCCCATAAAGCTCTGGTTACAGCATTCAAGGCTTTCAGTAGCCTATTTATCAAAACATTTCCTGGCCGGGGATTTAGCACAGTGGTTCCACCGCCTGCCTCGCACTTGCAAGGTCCAGAATTCAATCCCTGGTACAAAAAAAATTCCAAATTTTTCCTACAAACCAGTTCCAAAAGTTTCTGAATCACAAGAGCAGGTACAGCCATAGCAATGACCCCACTTCTGCAATACCAATTTTCTATATTAGTTATTTTCCTGTGGCTGTGACAAAATACAGGACACTTGCAACTTAAAAGAGGAGAAATATAATTTGGCTCATGGTTTTGATGGATTCCATGGTTGGCCAGCTCCACAGTAGAAACCACATATGATGGAAGGTCATGGTGGAGAAAAGCTGCTCAATCCATGCAGCCAGGAAGCAGAAACACCAAAGCAAGTCTTTGAATATGGAAGGGGGATGCAACCCCATGGAGTTGCATGGGGACACATTTCATTCTCCCCTCACCAATGCAGGGCAATGTGTGCAAAGTACTGTATTGGCAACAAAAAAGTGAGCTGGGCCTTAGTGTTCAGGGTTATTTTTATTCAGTCATATGGGTGCTATGGTAACTGTATAGCTTATTTGAGATACTCAGTCTCCAGCTTTCTAGAGCTAGGAATAAAAACACACCCTTTCAGGTCATACCCTCAGTGACCTGCCTCCTCCAACAAGGTCTCCAAACACATGAGACTTTGTGGGGCACATTTTAGATCTAAAACATAATGGTATTGCACTTACCTGCCATTTAAGGAGAAGCAGCTGCCAGTATCCCCAGGTGAGTTGCACATGTACGACAGAGGGTGGGGTTGCAGCCCAGTTTCCTTAGAGGGTATATTGTTGCTGCTGTAACTAATTATCACCACTTAGTGGCTGCAGACAGCACAAATGGGCTGAGGGTGAAACTCAGTCACTAAGTGCCTGCCTAGTATGTGTGAGGCCATGGGTTTCATCCCCAGGACTGCAAAAACATAACAAAACAACTCTAAACACACACACACACACACACACTCACACACAATTATGATGCTATAGATTTGAAGTTCAGAAGCCAAAAATGGGTTTTACTGAACTAAAACCTGGGTTTGGCAGGGCTATGCTCCTTTCTGGAGGCTCTAAAGGAGAATTTTCCAGCTTCTAGAGGCTGCCTGGGTTCTGTGGCTCATGATCCCTTCCATATTCAAAGACAGGAATGGGCAGCCGTGTCTTCCTCACATCACACCACTTTCACACTCGCTCTTGCCTCCCTCTTCTACTTTTAAGGAAACGTAATTGCACTGGACCCAGCCAGATAATCCAGGATATCCTCCCTACCCAAAGTTACCTAATGAGCAACTTGAATTACCTTTTGCTATGTAAGATAACATATTCCAGAGACTAGATGTAGGTGTCTCTGAGGTGCCATTAGCTTGCCTGCTACAGATGGAAGAAAGTAATACCAGGCTTAGATGGGTTTCCTACTGTGTAAATGAAAAGTTCTCTATTTAGCTATTTTAATCTATAACCTCCTTTCTATTCTGTACATCCACCAGCAGAGGAAAAGCAAAATGCTCTTTATTCAAATGCAATGTATTATTCATTCTATAATGACTTAGGAATGCTAATTCCATTGCTTTCACGGCAGAACAATTTTTTTTGAAATTAGCTTCAGTAGTGAACAAAATTGATGATAGTCTTATCTGGATGAACACAAACTAATATTTCCAATATGTAAATTTTGTTCCTGTTTACTCTTTCTTACTTATTTTCTCTTATGCATCTCAGGTTTTTTTCACAAAATATAATGTAGATTCTGTTTTACTATATTATTCTATTTTATTACAGTCATTATTATGATTATATCCTGTCATTCTTTCATCTTAACCCACAAGAAAAATTCACAACTCAGCAACTACTTTTTTGCAGTGTCAAAAACATGGCAAATTATAACACTTTCAGATGGGACACAGTGTTCCCACAAGAGGCAATTTTCCTGAATATATAGGCATGTCCACTATTACCCTCTTTTGATACGACTCAACAGGGCGTGTAGCAAAGAAAACCTTCCAGGCAGGCAAAAACAAGTCCTTAAATATGAGCAAAATATGTGCTTTGCTTAACAGAAGTAGCTTTCTCAAGAACGTGATGTGATGCAATGTAATGTAATGTAATGGCTAAGAATGAGTTTTAGAGATTCATGCCTCAAGAAAGCAATTTTATGATTTCTACCATCTGTGAAGAGAAGAGTTGTCAGGATCTTCTTCGCCACATGTGCTGGACTCCACACATTTGCTAGGAGGACTCACAGGGCTCACAAGTTCACAGTGTGCCATAGTGAAAAGATACAGAGCAAGATCATTAAAGGCACAAGGTGCATGAGGCGAGATGAAAGAGAAGCCAGACACTGTCCCCCGGGTGTCTCCTCCCCATGGAGTTGCACAGGGACACATTTCATTCTCTCTACACAAATGCAGGGAAATGTGTACAAAGGATTGCCAGCTAAAGACTTGAGCTGGGCCTCTGTGGGGGGGGGGTGCTTTAATTCAGTCATGTGGGTACTACCATATTCAAATGGCTGGTCTAAGCTATTCAGTCTCCAGTTCATACTGCTGCAGTAAGGCTCAGGGCCTCAGGCATACAGAAGCACTCCTGTTGGGCAGGGTATCTCAAGGATACAGAGGTTGTCAAGGACAAGCTGGTCAAGGACCAGTCCTCCCAAAGACACACTTTTATTTGGAATGTGCAGGGTTTGAACAAGTCAGGCCTGCTGAGTTAACCCTAGGACACATCAGTATGGAAGGATTGCTACATCACATGGATATTGTGAGGATCAAACAAGTCAGTTGCTTTAAAATATAACATACATATGTGCTAAATAATCATAAATGGAAAAAGGTGGCATTTATATCTTTCTCCCAAACAATAACCAAATTTGAAACCAAACAAATAAGTAGCTAGGCATGGAAATTTGAACTGAACCACACATTCCACCCACAGCCTCCCACAGTCTGCTTAAAATGGGCCCAGCTTTTACTATGATGTTATTAGGCATCATCGTATCTTTAGGACAGTAAAAATATACAGCATTTCTAGGATCCATATACCATATACATTTTCTACACTTTCTGGGCTTTATGGAAGAGGACCTGTCACAAACACAGCCAGTCACTATTTTAAACCTGAAAAAATACTTTTAAAATGTTATAGATTAATGCCTGCCCACATAATGTATATCCACTGTCACCCCAAGTTAGTCCCTTTCACTACCATAGCAAATACACCTGCAACAAACTTAGCAAGCGAAGCAGGGGGAAAAGGGTTGGATGTTTATTGCTTCAGGAGCATCATTCGGTCCTTACCATCTTTGTTGTAGTTTCTTGGGCTGCCATGATAAAATACCACCAATTAAGTGGTTTTTAAAAAAGAAACTCATTTTCTCACACTTCTAGAGGCTAGAAGTCTGATGTATTATTAGTCAGCTTTCCTATTGCTAGACACAACACTGAACACCCACAACTTAAAGAAGGAGAAGTTTAATTTGGCTCATGGTTCAGCAAAATCAGTCCATGGTCAGCTGGCTCCAAGGCAGGAATATCATGGTAGTGGAGCATGGAGGGGGAAAGCTGCTCACCTTGTGGAAGCCAGAGAATAGAAAGAAAGGAGGAGCTGAGGAGGGAGATGAACCCTTCCAGGTCACACCCACAGTGACAAACCTTTTCCAACCAGGCCCCACCTCCTAACAGTTCATTTAGCTGTGAACTCATCAATGGATTAATCCTCTAATGAGTGTAGTGCCCCATGAGCCAATCACCTTTCCAAAATTCTACCTCTCAGTACATTCTCTCTTAATAACAAATCTCCATTTCCCCTGGCCACTCACCCTTGACTTCAGATTTCATCAAACAGCTACAACGACCATCCAATTTATGAAAACATGCCTATCATACTGCCTATACCAAAGTATTTTTAAATAATTACAATAGCTAGGTATGATAGTGTATGCCTGTAATCCCAGAACTCTGGGAAGCTGAAACAGGAGGATGGCAAGTTTGAGCCCAACCTGGGCAATTTTAACAACATAGCCAGAGCCGGGGATTTAGCTCAATGGTTCCACCACCTGCCTCACAAGTGCAAGGACCCGAGTTCGATCCCCAGTACCAAAAAACAAAACAAAACAAAAACAAAACAACATAGCCAGACTATCTAAAAGTAAAAATAAAAGCAATGTTAGGGGTGTAGCTCAGTGTGACTCCCCTGGATTCAATCCCCAATACCAAAAATATTAATAAAAATCTGAATGATATAATCAGTAATGTGGCTACTATTTTTATTTTTAATAAACTCCTTAGTATTTCAGGCTGATTATCATTGTTTTAACATATGAAAAATGTTTTTCACCTGCAGAAAAAACATTGTCGATCCAGAAGATCCTCGCTGTGCCCGGTTAACCCTCACTGGCCAAATGATTACAGTGACTCCAAAAGAAGTCGAATTTGCCAAGCAAGCCATGTTTTCAAGGTGTGTCAAGCTCTGATATTAGTTTGCCCACAGACAGGGAGAAGAGGGGAAGGGAGGGGATGGGGATGAAAGAGGAATTAGGATGTGTCATGTACATGTACCAACTCCCCATGAGGAATGTGATCACTATGTACTGCCAACTGTACTCAGATATATTTTTATGTACTCATAAAAATTAAATAAAATAAATTAGTTTGCCCAGAAATATACAGTAATAAAAGTAGAGGTCAGTGCTGCGCCTTTTGATGCCTTTTACACAATTGCAAGTGGTCTCAGCTGTCCTACTCCAGTCACAACACAACCAATTTTTCACAGGCTGACACGGCCAGTGGCAGATGGCTCCGAGTCGGCCACACTGCCTCTGGAGAGCCCCACACAGAGATGCCCCAGCCACAGTTCTTACATCCTTCCAACCTTGCCAGTGCCCTGCCCAGCGATGAAAATTCCTCACCCCTCTAGTCAAGTCATCACTGCAAACATTGTCAAACGTCCACTCAGAGTGTTTATTACTGCATTTGCTTTGTTGCAAATATTTTTCCCGGTTTGGACTTGGTCTTTGAATTCTTGAATTTTTTGATAGAAAGTAATATTATTTTTATGAAGTTCAAAAAGTGGGTGAGGCCAGCCCCTGCCTTCGTGAAATTACAGTATGTGTTGGGGTACATGTGGGAGGGGCAACTGCAAAAGGAAGAAAGTGACAGATGCTCCCTGTCCACTCTGGCTGGCTCTCGGCCTGGATGGACAGTCCAAAGCTTGCTGCAGGAAGCACATTCTGCCATGAGCAGATGCGTTTACCAGGCTCGCTGTCTGAACATGTCTTGAAGGGGATACACAGAGCCTTTCTCAGTGTTTCCTGCTCACAATCACAGATGCCCACTGAGCACTTGCCCGGTGCAGGTGTGTTAGGGGTGCTTTATCATTTGCTCCTCACACAGCCTCATGGCCCAATGCCATCAGCATCACTTGCAGGACAGGTAAGATGGTGAGGGCTTGCACACCAAGCTGGGATTCAAACCAAGGAGCTCAGCTCAACACTTGGGCTTTTGCCAGTGGGTGGAGGAACTACAGCTTCCTGGCTTCCCGAGGCTATCCCAGGCCCTGACACCTGGCTCTTAGGGTCTGTCTCAGGCTGGTTCAATAGCTTTCAGCCCTTGTAAGGCACTCCTTTGACAAGAACATCTTCCTGGTGATCTCTCCTTGCTCTTATAGGCACCCCGGGATGAGGAAGTGGCCGCGGCAGTATGAGTGGTTCTTTATGAAGATGAAGATAGAACATGTCTGGCTTCAGAAATGGTATGGAGGTGTATCCAACATTTCAAGGGAGGAATATTTCAAAGCAGTTCCCAGGAAGGCCTGAGGGAGTAAGAAGAAAGTCCTCAGTGTTTGCAGTAAAATGAAGATCTTTTAATGACGCTATAGGAAAGCTCCTGGCTGCTGTCTCTTAGTTGAGGGGTTCCTAACTGACTGATAGTCCCTACAGCAGAATGAGCGAGGGTAAACAGAAACCCTGTGCTAAACTGTGTTCCAAGGAGTCATCTGCAGACCCCTTGTCCCGCAGAGACTCCACATGGACAGTCTGCTTATGTAGTGTTCAATCCAGACTCACCTAGTTGGAAGTCATTTTTGTAGGTTGTCAAAATGGCACATCAAGACTGTTGTTGTTCCTTTCTTTAAGAAAAAAATTATGCCTGTCATACAATGTGATTGCTTTGTACTGTGGGAGCATTTTTGTTGCTTGCTGTGCCAAAAGCAGTATCTTGGATCTAAGCTCACTCCAACCACAGAGGAGCTCAATGTGCATCACACAGCTGAAGTACTGTGTTTAAGGTGAGGCTGGAAGACTACGGTGGATGACTTGCCATACTTCTGCATGGCCAATGCATTACTGAATCATGTTTGCTAGAATGCATTGGTCACTTACAAAGTATCTTCCCCACTGTAACACGATAAACAGCATAAGAATCTGCAGTTTTGTGCACAAAACTGTATAAGCAGGCCATGAGAGAACACTAAAGAGAGTGGAGTAGATTTTGCATCAAGCTTCCAAGATCCCAGCTGCTCACATTTCTGAGAGCTCCTCTCTTGCATGCATGAGGAGTGGCATCTAAAATAAGAACACCTCCTTGCGTGATGTGCAGAGATGTGAGAAGGTGAAACTAGGGAAGCAAAGGCAATGTGTAAAAGTAGATGGAAAGTAGTCTGTACCAAGGGCCTGATCTCTGCCCAGCCCTGGGCCAGACCCTAATAGACACTATCTCATTTAGCCCTGCATCCAGTAATGTGCTTGTCATTGTCACCACTTAAAAGGAGACTGAGGCTCAGAGAGGGCAAGTCAGCATCCCATGGTCAATCCCATGGTCACACTCTGCAGCTCGCTGCACACAATGGGTGGGTGGTACCTTCAGACCTTCCAGTTTTAAGAACAGAAGAATTGCTAAAATGCATAGAGTCATTGAACCAGAAAAAGCAGTAGAGTGATTGTAGAAGAGAATGACTAACCTGCCTGGACATGAGCATCACTGCTTTGCAGGGGGAGGGGGTCTCTGAAATTTGGTTCTTACTACGTATTTTAAATTTTCTGCAAATTATTTTCTGGAGCTCCTGGTGTTTGCAAGAAACTAGACTGCACCAGTGTACACACTCAAGGCCCGCATGTACCTCCGTGTGCATATCCAGGACTTCTTATAATAGAAATCTACAAAGGATCTAGTGGTATCCAACTTTTCTGTCTTCACAGCAACAAGCTCTCTTTGGTGGGCTATGTATGTTAAATAATATAACAGCATATCACTAATATAAGAAATACACATTCTTAAAATAAGTGAAAGTGTTATTAATGATTATATTTTAATTTTTCTTAACAAAATAAGACATGAAGAGAGTTTGAGTTGTCAAAATATATTTTAAGTGCCTATTACTAAAAACATAGTAAGATGCACAATATTCTTTTATTTGTCATAGGCTCTCAAAAGAGTTCCTAACAATTGCACTCTCTAATGCATAAGAATAAGTCAACTCTTTGAGGGTATTTTGTATTTTCAGGCTTTAAAATTATTGGTAAACCCAATTTAGAGGATGGGGAGAAACTGGAAGAATAAGCCACAAGCCCAAAAGTGCTCCAAAAGTCAACCTCAAACCTTAAGTCTTGGAGAATTACTGCCTCCTGGTCCTGTCTTACAGATAATGCTGCTACACTGGGTTTGCTTTTATAGTCAGTAATCAGTTTCCCTTTCACTCAGTAAGGGTCCCTGATGATTCAAAGTGCTCCAAAGAGCGTCTTCCACTTATAATCACTGATGAATTTTGTCAGCTATTTATCCAAATTACAGGAAGTGAAATCAGAAAGGTTGGACTGTAAGAAGTGTTTAAAATTCATAGATTTGAGTCTGATGAGTCCCATTCAGGCAAGAGTGTGTCTAGAAATTTACATTGATTAAAATTTTTAGGACTTTACTAGAAGTTCTAAACACAGCAATAAGACAAGAAAAAGAAATAAAATGTGTATCAACTGGAAAGAAAGAAATAAAAGTATCCCCATTTATAGGTAACATGATGGTCTACATAGAAATTTTCAAAGAATCTACTTTTTAAAAATCAAAAAGCCCCTAGCACTAGTAGGTGCAGCAAGGTCTCAGAATACAAGATCAGCACCCAAAATTTACTCACATTTGAATGTTCCAGTAATGAGTATGTGGCGACCAAAGCTAAAAACATAATACCATTTCTTAGCACTCCAAAGAAGATGAAATGCATGGCTATATAAGCTTAACTAAACATGCACAAGATTTGTATGCTGGGAACTCTAAAATGCCAATGAAAGAAATAAAAATATCTAAACAAATGAGAGATACCATGTTCATGGATTGGAAGGCACAAAATAGTAAAGATGTCTATTCTCCCCAAACTGATCTCTTAATTTAATGCAATTTCTATCAAACCCACAGCAAGGTTTTGCAGACAAATAGATGCTTATTGTAAAAATTATATTTAAAGGTTTGGGGCCGGGGATCTAGCTCAGTGATTCCACTGCCTGCCTTGCAGGCGCAAGGTCCTGAGTTCAATCCCCAATACCAAAAAATAAAAACTAAATATATTTCAAGGTTTGCAGGATTTTGAAGAGTTAAAACAATCTTGAAGGAGAAATCATTCCACCCAATAGAAAGATTTATTAAAGAGCGACAACATTCAAGACAATGTTATTAGTGGATGCATAAACATGCATTTATAAAGCAGAAGCTGGGCATGGTGGTGTACGCCTGTAATCCCAGCACTCAGGAGGCTGAGGCAGGAGGATTGCTTCATGTTCAAGGCCAGTCTGAACTATATAGTGAGACCCTGTCTCAAGAAACAAACAAACAACAGCAACAAAAAACTGGACACAACCAAATGTCTATTAATCTGGTGACTGGTAAAACACATTGTGGTACATCCATGTCATGGAATACTACTCAGTCATAAAAAGAAGCTAATTGCTGATACAGACAACAGCTTGGATGCATCTCCAAAGACCTGAGCTAAGTGAGGAAAGCTAACCCTAAAAGTTCACACGTTGTATGACTCCAGTTATGTAATGTTTGAAATGCAAAATGATAGAAATGGAAAATAAATTAGAGATTGACAAGGAGGAGGCTAGAGAACAAGAGAGATAGTTTTGACTATAAAAGGGTAACCCAAAAGATCCTGGTAATGATGGAAATATTTGGTATAACTGAACAAATCAGTATAAAATTCTACTTGCAAAACTGTACTTTAGCAAGATGCTACCTTGGGGAGAAACTGACTAAAAGGTACAGGGAGGGAGGGTGATATTGTTTCGGGGTTTTTTGGTACCAGGAATTGAACTCAGTACCTTGTGCTTGCCAGGCAGGTGTGGTGCCACTGAATTAAATCCTCAGCCCTATATTGTTTCTTAAAACTGCATGTGAATCTATAATGATCTACCACTATCTCAGAATCTACAGTTATCTCAGAAGGAAAGGTTTAATATAAACAAGACTTAAGGTTTCGCTTAAATAAGACATTCAGTCTCTTTCCTCTCTCTCTCTCTTTCTCTCTCTCTCTCTCTCTCTCTCTCTCTCTTTCTCTCTCTCTCTCTCTCTGTCTCTCTCATTGGTCCCTACAGAAATGAAGAACTGCAGAAAACAGACATTTCTTCTGTTATCCATGTATATATACATTTGTGGAACAGATGTAAGATTTCTGTTAAAGTTTTCTAAATGTATTTGATTTAGTGTTGAGTGCCAAGTAGTCAGAATTCAACAGGGGGTGAGGGTGTAGTTCATCGGTTGTGTGCTTGCCTACCATATGTGAGGTCCTGGGTTCCATCCCCAGCATCACATAAAAGAACTGGACAAATCTGCCCTATATATTTTACATGGCACCCTTAGGAGAGGCAGATGTCTTCATCTGATGTAGACATGTTGAGTGAGCTTTAGGTGTATATAAGTATCCATGTCTTTATATAGTGATTCTCCACTGAAGTTTATACAAAGAACTATATTTCCAGTAATCTTCCTCTAAGTATTCTGGGAAACAGTTCTTTGTTTTCTGTGAATAAACTAATTACAGTATATCCAGCCCCCTATGTCTTTATTTACCGAGAATGAACATGTTTGTGAGACCAGTGTGTAGCTAATTCTGCTGATGCTTATTTCCAGACACCTTGTTTCACATTGATTCCTTGTAACAGAGTTGTTTGGGAATTGAAATGTACTTCTAGTCTTTCCAAAAAGTCTGTATTTCATTCTTAGTACCTTAACTGTCAAACACTGTTTTAAACAATTTATTGACACTTATTTGATTGCTATCTCAAGTCAATTATGAAAACTTTGAATTGCAATGACGTTACTGTTTGTACTATGTAATTCATGCGTGTAGAGTTTAAAATCTGTTTTCAGAACTAGATATGTCTCTTTCACCAAAGACTATTTCATTCTTGATACGGTTTCTGTGCTTGAACAGTTTCTGTGTTTCAATGAAATTATGATATTTATGTATGTATAATATGATATTTATATATAGTCATTTCCTGTAATGTTACAAATAAACATTATTAGATTTCTAAGAAAATAGAAGGTATTACAATGAATCTGCTGATAAATTTCTAGTAGAAAACAAAGAATGAACTGGGTCTTTTGTTCCTTTTTGTTTTTTGTTTTTGAGACAGAGGGCCAGGGATTTAGCTCAGTGGTTCTGCCACCTGCCTCGAAAGCGCAAGGACTCGAGTTCGATCTCCAGTACCAAAAAAAAAAAAATGTTTTTGAGACAGAGTCTTACTACATGGCTGAGGCTGGCCTTGAACTGCTGGGTTTCGGCAATCCTCCTGCCTCAGCCTCTGAATAGCTGGACTACAGGTGTGCACTCATGCACCCAGCTCTGTCATGACTTTTTAAGCCTCTGAGTAAAATGCCATTTATTTGCAGACTTGAAAAGGCTGATGTAACCACATCTTGCTATTATTTCAAGAATACAACTGTATAATTATTCCTAGAGTCCTAGCCCTGGAGCTCATACACAGAGTGTGGCAAAGAAGCAATACATGCCACGGGAGTGACCAGACCACCATCATCTCCCTTTACTTACGATGACAAAGTGCTCAGCTCTCACCAGAGCAGGGGCTCCCCAAGATGTGGGAGGGTCCTTGCCAATCCAGCTGGGCTGCACCCCTCCATCAACCATCCCTCACCCACCTCGTGTGCTGGGCCACACCCTGGAGACTCCATCTCCAGCACCAAGGCACCTTAGCCCACACCTCTGTCCCCCAGCCCTTTCTCTCCTGCTGCCCAAGTGCAAGACTCTTCTCCTCATCCCCACCCACCTACCCAAGACAGGGACACATGACTAACCACAGAATGGGACTCGATGGAGACCAGACTCGGCCCTGCCCTCAGTGCTTCTGTCTTAGGAACCATCAGCAGATACCAGCCAATCTGTTCAGTGCCATCCCTCAGCCTATGTCCCTAACACCCACTGTCTTCCTCTGACCACACAGTGCCCGAGCCCTGGACAAACTCAGCTCTCAGCTCAGATCTGAGCTGGTTCACAAATGGCTGCCACCTTGCACCTGCGGTCCCTGTCCTTGCCCAGGGACTCCCCGCTGGCCGGGCCCCAGCACTACTGTCTCCAAAGCTGCTCCCCACACTCTCCTATCTTCTCCCAGAGAACTTGGAGGTCTGACAACCCCTTCCACACCTTCTGGGGATGCTCAGCAGGCAGCAGCCCCTTCCCCACCTGAGGATGTCTTCCTGGGCAGAGGCCTCTGGCAGGTGCAGGCAAGGAGCAAGGATCAGCTTATGTATTTTTTTTTTTTTGGTACTAGGGATCGAACTCAGGTCCTTGTGCTTGCGCACCAGGCAGCGAAACCACTGAGCTAAATCCCCGGCCCAAGGATCAGCTTATGAAGGCATGGGGTGGGGAGGTGTTTTAAGATGCACTGCACTGTGGGAACTAAGCTGATGAAGTATCAAAACTAAAAAGAAAAAAACCCACAAAATATCTGCAAGTGTAATGAAGGCATTGGGGAATGAGCAAAGGATTATAATCCAGGGTGCACACTACAGCCAGCTCCCAGTGCAGGAGAACAGGGAAGGGGAGAGGAGCTTTTATACCAAAAGGCAGAGGCTCACATAAGCTGCTCGGATGCAGGTCTGCTGGTCTTGGAGACACAAGGCAGGAGTTGACAGCCTTGCATTGACAGAAATGCCCTTGGGAAAGCAGCCCGTCCGAATTGCATGGCTTCACAGGATGCTAAAGGAACTGTCGCCAAGATCTGTACCTACATGTGGTACACAAAGGGTGGGGAGTGTGAAGGACTTCCCCATGGGGCTTTCAGGGAGTCCGTGTCTCATACAAATGGGGTTCTGGGCTCCCACTTCATGACATCTCAGCTCTAAATTCTATCTGGGTCTCACAAGAGTGACTTTATCTTGGACAGCAATTTCCTCAGACAGGAAGAAGCTAGCAACAGCAGGAGATGGTGGTGCTGGAGAAGCCGAGGCTCAGGGGGCACAGTGCAGCTGCCCACCCCCTGGCAGGCTACAGCACAGATTGGGAAGATCTGTGGAGGTGACTGCCAGGATGGTGGCTGGGGCGAGCCAGATGGGTGCCATGGTCAGAGTGGGCATGGACAGGTGTGGGGTGAGGAATTGTGACCACAGCGAGGAGGAGAGAGGCCAAACTCCAGGCAGGAGCACCCCCTCCCATCCTGTTTGTCAACTACCACCAAGGATAACTAGTGTGGCCAGCTACAAAGGAGGAGGGTTCTTTGGTCTTGTCTTACTAAGGAATAATGATTTGTAAAGCACTGTTAAAGCAAAATTACAAAAGCTGTTGTTTCACAGTAAGCTCCTGAACTGGCTCCCAAGAGAAACCAGGTCAAAAATCAAGATGGAGTCGCGGATGCTAAAGTTCCCCACCTGCCCTGTCCAAGATGGGGCCACTCACATTGAAGCTCCATGACAACTTTACATTATAATTGTCAGAGGTGCAAGGCAGGCCATAAGAATTCAAGAAAGGGCCATGTTTCATGGACTTCTCATGTCCATACAGTGTGGAAGTCATTCGCTCAGCAGGGGCACCTTTGGGAGGAGCTGAGCTATTTGGAAGGGCTAATTTCCCCTCCTCCTGCTGTGACACTCCTCCCTCTCCTTTCTGCTCACTCTGAGACATCCCATTCTGCTCACTTCCAGATAAACTGCTGGCCCACATGTAGTTTCTGACGAATTTCCAAAACTGGAAATTTGCAGTTCACTAAGAGGTAAAGGCTTACCGCGCCACCTGGTGGCTGCCCTGGGAATTCACGTTCTCAGAATCTGGATCCAAGAAAGAAACAGAGTAGCAGAGGTGAACACACACACACACACACACACACACAAAGAGCGCTCTCAGGCTCTCTCTCTCCCCCTCCCTCCCTCTCTCTCTCTTTCATAAATATTCGCTTGCATACAACAGACAGGATAGATTGACAAAGCATGATATTTTGACAGTGAAACTTTGTATTATTGATCTCAGTTACTATAACTCAACTCCTGTTGTGAGCTAGGATCTTACATGTGCTACCTCGTTTAGTTTGTACATCCTCCCTGCAGGGAAGAAGATCCTGGGCTCAGCAAGTTTATGGACTGAGTTTCTGGGGTCTCAGGGGCAGATAGGAGGAGCTTGAGCTGGTATTAAATCCAAGGTTGACTCAACTCCTTTCCCTCCTTGAAGTGTTTTGGGGTTTCAAGAACCCTGTCAGGTCTGTTTTCCTCTCCTTAGGTTTCCCTTCTCTTCCTTCTATTCTTAGCACCCAACCTGCTCAGGGAGGAGCTCCTTCTAGCAGATGCCAGGCCTGCATTAAGCCTTTGCAAGCCATGTTCTACCTGGGACTCATCTGTGAGGCAGCGCATCTTACTCTCTAATTGCCAAGTGACAAAACTTACCCAGAATCACACAGCTAACAATTGCTGGCATCCTCCTGTAAGCTCAGATTTACAAGTTCATGCTCTGAACTACCACCCAACAGTCTTACCTGGCCTTCTTGATGTATTTTTTCAGCATCAAATCACGATTCATATTGTGCTTTTGGTTCAAACATAATTAGCAGAGCCAAAACTTAAGTGTGGATTCAATGGCCTCTGGCCTCACAGTAGGAGTTTGGTCCCCACCTCTTGCCTTCTGTCCTCCTTAGGTCTTTTGCTCTTCCCACCCTACTGTCACCAGCTAGTATAACTTCTTAGCCACATGTAGGATGGAAATCAAGCACAGGCTAGTTCTTGAGCCCTCTTCTTCAGGTCCCTCAATAGAGGAAGGCCACAAACCAGCTTCCAAAATGTTACCAAACAGCTGAGGGTTCTTGCTCAATTTGTATAGAAATCATGAATTGGAAAAGTGTAGCTCTTTTGGTGTTAACAGCCCTGGGTTTCAAATGCCAGCAGCTAACAGCTCTTTCAGTATTAGTAGCTCTTCTTCGCTCTCACCACCAGTAGCTACAAGCAGATCTCAGGAACTCTTCCAGCCACAGAAGGTAGGAGCTTTCAGCTATTCGTTGTTGCTCTCCAGTCATTCTCTGCTGCTAGCCATCATCAGCGCCAACAGCTTTTGGTGTTATCAGCTCCTACTATACCAGCTCAGAATGGTCTACTTGAGACAGAAATCACAAATAGGTGGGAGTATGCTGTTCAGAAGGGGCTTTACTGGGACTTGTGCTACAGCATAGGGGAACAGTACACTAAAGATATGGGGAGGTTGCTTATGAAGGAATAAAGGTGGGCTTGGGCATGCACCATGTCAGTCTTTCTGTTTGGTCATTGGAAGGGAGGGGCCCCTCCTGGACTAAATGAAGTGGGCTGCAGAGGGGCAGAATCATGCAGAGATCATGCCATTGATTTATCAGTGTTTTGGAACAATAAAACATTATGAATGTTTTGAGGTTTCTGTTTGGTTTTTAACATAGCAATTATTTTTTTATTGTATTCATCAATGGTGTACTATATGTTGCAAAGTATCTTGTGGGTTTTTTTTTTAATAAAGATCCAAGCAATTCTCTCTCCAGGTACTTTGTTGAGAAAGTAAAAATCAACTCAGACTGAGAAAGGAAAATTCTGCCAGCCAACAATTAAGCTAACATATGAGCCCAGACAAAGCCCGCTGCAAAATTAACTGGAAATCATATTTCTCCCAAGGTCATGGTGCAGCTATAAAATGTCATAACAAACCCCTTTTGGAGTGGCTTCTGCTCTGTCATGGAGAAACTTTGTTCCAACATCTTAGGGTATCAGAAATTTTCCTGTTCCTGACAAATCAGTAAGAATGAAAAAATCCACTTTTGTGTGGAAGGTCTAAGTCTTGAACATGGAGCTGTATCCCTGATTTTTCACCCAGATGCAGGTTCCAGACAAGCCTTCTAGACACAACATCATATGGCTACCTGACTTCCTAATTTCCAAGAAGTATCCTTGAGTCTAGTTTCCGGTCCAGATGCTCACAGACAGCCTGTGAGAATCAAAACATAGCTTGTTAGCATCTTACTTAACTCCCTTTTCCCCTACACCCTGGCCTTTCCTCTTTGGTAGCCCCACTGATACGAAGACTGCTTCATG